GCTAAAGTTTAGAAGTCTCAGTGTGAAATGGAGGAATTCGTTATGTTCCTTAAGAGATGATGAAAACCAATTTTCTTACATTGCTTCTATGGTTTAGAAGTTTTCAAGGCTTTTGTGGTGTGTAATAATTTGTAATCTTTTAATCTGGAATAAACCACAGGAGAGTAAAACTGTAATTCATAACTACTTTTTATTTAATATTGTGATCCTTTTGTTATTGATATGTTTGAAATACGGAAAAGAACAGTTGTCCTTACCAAGCTTTTCTGTCCTTCCAATTTCAGATGGGCAATTGAGTGGTGGTGTCGCCAACATGTTTTTTTTTTCCAGAGACTTGACACTGTTAGCTCCAGATATTTGTGTTTTCCAGATGTGTGCAATAGTAGTTAAGGTCATCAAGTTGATATAGGTCATCAGGTTTTAATCTGTCTTTTAATGTGAAGAATCTGAATCGGTAAAGTATGCCTCCTTAATTCAGTGTAACACTAGTGATAAGATGTGGAGTGCAAACCTCTTAACAGCCTGCTTGTATTGCCCCTTTCCTAGCTGCTCTGTTCTGGATCCCTGACTGGCTTCTTGCTGAAGGAGGTTATGCAGAAGGGACAAGGAGATAAATGCTATTAAGAAGTACTTTTTTATTTTTTCTTTCCCTTTTTCTTAAGGTTACTAACTCATGCAGAATTTCATCAGCCACCCACGTGGCTGAACACCCACGTCCTGTTCTAGAACAGCACGCCTGGCCTCTTCCCCCTGCCTTCTTCCCTGGGAAGCCTCAGTCTCTGTGTGGCACCTGAAGAAGATAATGAATGCAGTTGGCTATTATCCTGAGGTTCCCCATCTGCCAGTCGTGGCAACGTCTCAGTTTTTGAAGGCAGTCTGTTGCTGGGTGGGACATGCTAATTCAGCAAAACTAGTAGTTTAATAAACAAAATGGGGTTGTCTGAAAGCAGAATTAAGTGGACATGAAGTAAAGATCAAACCACACTTTATAAAAAGCAAAACCATGGCAAGCTTCAAAAGCTATGGAAAGAAGTATTGCGTGTTGATTTTACTAATAGGATTACAGGGGTAAAGACTTAATATACAGAAGGAAGCGTCTGAAAGAAGCTGGTACGTGGTCAAGACGTTAGACTGCAGTTATATGTGTTTAACACTGCATTGTCTGATAAAGGCATTGCAAATTCTTTTTCTCTAGCTTATGACAAGTAATAGAAGTAATATTCTAGCAGTGGAAAAGAATCTTGAGTAGATTATTATACTTTAAAGCATCTTGGAAATCAAGATTGTTGAAACCTGGACAAACTTGAAAATTTTAAAGATTCTGGTAAATCAGTTGTAGCACTTGTAACATCTTACCTCTCTACAGTGGTTGTGAGTTCCAGGGAGTTGGAGACATGATTAGCTTTATGGCCTTGGACAAATGTTTTCTCTATGCATTTCCAAAAAATGCCCAGCAGATATTGTCTACAACTTGAGACTTTGGATGTGCAACGCCTGATTTCTATGACCTTTTTATGTAACCTATGAAAACTGGGATATGCTGTTTTGATCAAGGCATCCATAACTAGACACGAGCTGAAACATTTTTCAGTGATAAAATGCCAGTGCAGGCAATTATTACTTCTGGGTGTTTGTTCCTTGTGTTGGTATCACTCATGTTTTGTACAGTCATGCAATGAGCCCAGCTGGGGAGATGATCTGGGTTTGGACCCCAATGAATTTTCTGGCCTGATTCCCCATGCAGCCTTACCAAATTATGCTGGTATATCTGGTTCCCCGTGCAGCCTTACCAAATTATGCTGGTATATCTGGTTCCCCGTGCAGCCTTACCAGATTATGCTGGTATATCTGAATAGGAAAGACAGCACTGCTGCCAGAGTAAGTGCTTATTTTGGATGATGGCATTGTAGACACTCAGAGAAAATCCAGTTATATACTTGTCTTGATCTAGTTTTACTTTTTTGGGTAAAATCATATGTATTCTGAGTACTTGACAGAATGGAAATTTCAGATATCCTGTGTGTCACTGAGTGAGGTGGGTAACTTGTATTTCTCAGCAACAAGAGGCTAGTATTGCTGTTGTGTAAAGTTACAATTAAATTGAATACTCTCTGTGTAAAGATGGTCTCCAACAGAAGTTCTCTTACCTTTCACCAAAAGCAATGCACTCTCTTTATTTTTCAGCATGAACAAAGCGTGTTTTAGTCAAACACTGAAATTTCATATGTAAAATGTTACATTCTTTGTGACTTTAAAGTAAAAAAACCTTCTTTCTTGGTGTGTGTGGTGGGGAGGGGGGAAGTTGGTGTAATCCTTAGAGAAATACATTTTTCTCTTCTCCCACCCCAGCCTTCTTGTTCAATTGATGCTGAGTTTGCTGCATAGGATTGTAGCCTTTAAAAGTGGTATGTTAATTAAATTGAGCTTGTGAGTGTCTAGAGGTTTGGTGGGTTTTTTTTCCATTTATAGCCTACCATCTTGATGTAATGAATTGGGACAACTTTCAAATTTATACAGAATCTGCATTTGCAGAGGATTTTCTAAGATAAGCTGGAAAAGAAGGATAGGGACTTGGAGCTTCATTTAATCTGTTTAACAAGCAGTGGGAGAGCCTAGTTTTGAGGCTTATGCATTTAGGGTAAGTTCTGGTGACCAAGTACGTTCTAACAGAATTCCTCACTTGAGGCTGGTGCCTTTCTCTTAGTCGCTTACTTCAGCCGTAGTGGTGTCCCACCACTGTGTTGGCTTAGCTAGCAGTGTGGCTGTGCAGTGGGGCTGAGCAGTGATCTGATCTACATTAAAAATAGCCATGGGGGCAGCAAAAGGAACGTCAGGTTACATCTGCAGCCATTTCCTGGTCTGACTCAGCAGGGGGTGATGAAATTGCCTGCCCCAGCACATGGGGGAAGCAATGCTGTGTGGAAGTAAGCAAAGGGTGGAGGTAATGGTTGTTAAAGAACAGACAGTTAACAACCTGAATTATTTCTTACCCTACTGGTGTGACTCCCATTTCTTAAAAGCAAGCCAGAAATTCCAGTTATGTTCTGGTTCCACTAGTTCATGGATTGTTGGGGGGTTTTTGGTGTCGAGGTGGGTTCATTTGTGGGTGGGTTGTGTTGTTATGTTGGGGTGTGTGCAAGTGGTGGGTTTTTTGGTGGTGGTAGTTTGTTGAGGTTTTTTTCTCTTCCCCCCCTCCCCCCCTTTTTTTTTTGTTCACAGTGGAGGGTGCTGGTTATGGAGTGGGGATTTTTTTGGTTTTGCAACTCTGTTCCTGGTGTGTGCTGGCATAGCTGTTTGTGCAGCCACCTGGCAACTCGACTTGGGTGCTCATCTCTCTAGGGAGAATATCTTGCAGAGCCTCGTCTTGGTCTTACACCACTTATTTTTATGTAGGACCACATTCCTTGTTACTGTGCAGCTACAGTGTACAGACAGGTGATTGCTTTGAGTGTGAATTGCAGCCTGATGGCAAGTGTCAGCTGGTGGCTTATAAAACCACCTCAGATTTTATTGTTCTTAGTACCTCGAATACACCACTGTGCAAGGAGGGTTATCAGCCCTCTTAAGACACACCTCGGGTTTTAATACATCTCTAGGACTGGATTACAAATAGAGCTCTGCTTGTCTTTTGGTTAATTGTTCACTTTAATTTATCTGATCTCTTACAATTAGAGCAGACTAAGTACCCGTGCAGAAGTTCATGCAGTTCAACAACCTGACACCTTTTAACTCGAGGAGTATTGACTCGAACATGCTGTTTTGTGAAGAGCTGTCCTGATCTTAGTTTGGGCTGCTGAAAGATGAGCCCTCTACCTCTGGCTCTCTGCTGGCTGTACTGCTGTGTGCCTGCGCACTCAGCTGGTTGGAGGACTGGGCTGTGTAAGAGGAGGGCAGGACTGCCCCTTTCAGCAGCACAATGGGTTTAGAAGGACATAATCTGCTTCTCAATCTTCACTTCAAGTGGTGTTTTTTAGGAGGCCTAATTGCTGACAATTTTTCTTGTTTACCAGATCTTGATATTTTCATTGAGTTCAGAGTTTGCAACTTACTTGCTATCTCGGGCTAAATTGAAGTGTTGATAAACATGTTGATGGATTTAGTTCTTATATGAGTTTGAGTGGGGGTTTTTTGTTTTGTTTTTTTCCTTGGCTAATACTTCTATGTGGATTGGGAAAGATAAACTTGTATTCAGTTGTGGTTTTGGTGTGAATGTATTGAGTCTGAGTAGTTACAGTGCCTTGAATTTAAAGAAGCTTGCGTCTTCTAGGTTAAAATTGAAAACAAATTGAAAATGATTGTTCGGTTTTCTTGACTAGCTGAATTTGAGGATGCTCAATTAAACTTGCATTACTTGATGTGTTAAAACAGAAAATTATCCTCAAAAGCTTTGAAATGGTACAGTTCTTTCAAGACAGGCAGGCACAGTATTGAAACAGGGTGCTTCTACTTGATTATTTGGCTCCTACAGCAAAAACTAATGTGTATGTTTTGTCAGATGTAATTATCTATCACAAACATGTTTTGCATTCTTGGAGAGGAAGTTACTGATTGAATTATTTACAAATGCAAAATAGATTTATACCCTCAGGAAACATGTTTAGGGTGTGGCTGATTTTGATTCTTGAATTCAATGGTGGGCTTCTCTAAGGTTTTTGTTGGTGTCAGAACACAGGAGCTGCAAGTAAAACTTTGTCCCCATCTGCTTCGTCCGAGACTTTCTTCTCTGTCATAGCCCAGGATAATGTTTGCTTTGCAACCTTTTTTTCGGGCTTTTTTAAGCACCCCTGAATGCGCAGGGCAGTTCACTGAAATAGCTGAAGCTTCATCTTTCCTCAGAAGTTCTTATCTATATGTTTATATTGGGATGTGGTCCCCTCTGTTGTTAGTGGTGGTCTTAATTCAGCATACCTTGATATACAGAATGACTCATCCTCCGAATACTTTGTTTACAGCTTCAGTGCTTCTCCTTAATTCATGGTAATCCTCTATTTTACAGGTATTTCATGCATGGAGTTTGCAAGGAAGGAGACAACTGTCGCTACTCCCATGACCTCTCCACTAGTCAGTCTGCCATGGTGTGCAGGTATTATCAGCGAGGATGCTGTGCTTACGGAGATCATTGCAGGTAAAGAAACACTGCTGACCACCTGTCAGGGAGTGATTTCACTATGGGTCCTTGAACAGAGAACTCCCAGAAAGGCAATAAAACTTAAATGTATATTATACATTTATACAGAAATGTATAAAAATAGCTTGTTTGCACAAACTGCCTTCTCTTGTTAAATACTGTACTGATTGCTTTGCTGTGGAAATAAATAAGCAAAGGCAAGGTGAGAAGAGAACTGTGTTTTGTAAAAGTGCTAGCTGTCAGGGTGTGGGGCTTTTCTTGGGTTTTTTATTAATAACATGAGTAGATTAATTAGTTGAAATCTGAGACTGTTCAGACTAGCTGAACTGATGGAACTGAGTTACATTTGGTAAGTGATCATAAAATCCTGAACAGGTAAGGATTTCTTCCCCCCCCGCTCCCCGCCCCCTGATTGTGTGTGTCTCTTCAGCAATTGCTATTCTGACACTTGAACTTACATTTTGGAAGAGTAACTGGAGTGTAGTCACATAGTTCCTAAAATGTTGCCTGTATAAAATGGCCCTACACTATGAAAACATAGTGTGACTTAACCTGTACCCCTGAAATTATTAAAAAGTGTGAAGAAAGGAAACGGATGCTTTCGTAGGTAGCAAAGCTTTAAAAAGGCTCAGGGGTATTTACATCACCTTAAGTGCACTTTATTAAAGTTTATCAGGAATTTTAACATTCTGACTTGTTGGAGCTGTAATGCATGATTAAATATTTGCATCATGACTTGTTATGGTAGTTCATAGTTAGCTTTACTTCCACATGTAATACCTGGTTACTATGTACAGGCTTCTCTGTAGCCTTGTGTCTGCCAGTGTTGCTTTCTTGGTTTTGTAGATCAGTGGTCTCCAAATTTTTGATCATGCACTCCATCAGTGAAGTTTTTTGAGCACCTCTCATTTATTTATTTATTTATATGTGTGTGTATATATATATATATATCCACTACTGTACTAATATATTATGTACATTATAAAAAATGCACAAAAATAAGAATTTAAAAAGGGATGTAATAAAGATTAAATAAATAATATTTTATAGGGTTTTTTATTAAGTCTAAAACTTTTTGCTCTCACTAAAAGCCTTTTAGTAATATTTTTTACTGACAATGTTGACTGAATATGTGTCATTATTTTTTTTAATCTTTGTTTAACATTTTATAGTACAGCTATTTTGAAGGTCTTATTCTAAGTTCAGTTTATTTCAGTACTTAGTTTAATGACTCTCATAGCTGAAAAAGATCTTTTGCAAAGCTATATAGATCGAAAAGGAAGAAGTGTATTCTTGGCTGCACTATATTTTTGAGAAATGGGTCTGAAACCCTTTCTTTGAAAGATTTTTAGACATGTTAGAATTATGTTTCCAAGTTTTTAAAGTGTGCAAGGTATGAGAGTTTTTATAGTTGACACACTTGCATTGGTTTTGGCAGCAATGGTGGCAAATGTTTCAGAACAGCCATTTTCAAAATGTTGTCTCCACACCACAGTAAAAAGCAGTTACTTTTTCTTAAAATGTTACCTATACCTTGAAGGGACAGATTGAGTGTGTTTATTTTTTTGAAACACCTGCTGGGTAGTGTACTACTGACAGCAACTTGTCATCATGGAAAAGGTCGGCAAATTTGGAACACTTGTCTCTTTGTGAAAGAAAAATACGTAACTCATCTTTGACAAGTTTTAAGCACTTTACCACAAGATTGCCAGCAAACCTCTGTGCTACAAAAGATTTTCATGGTTGCTTTCCGTCTGGTAACAAAGTGTTGTAAAGATTCCACTATTTAAAGCTCTTCCTTTAATAAAACTAACCATACTGATGTCGCTTTGTAGCACTTTGTGTGCTTCTGGCTCCATCTTTGCTTTGATACCTTGCCTGAGAATGATGCAGGGAGTGAATTTCTGATGTCGTGTTATCTCTGTAGCTTCACCCTAGAATCCTTTTTTTCTTTCTCGTCAAAGCAGCAGCTCCATCAGTGGTTACACTTGCATAGTTTTTCCATAAAACATTGTTTTTATTAAAGAAGTAGTTTACTGTTGAAAATACATCTCTTCCAATGCATCTTTTCTTTAGTGGCTCACAAAAAGTAGTTCTTTGGGTATTTTGTTATTGAAACAGAATCTAGTAAATATTGTAAGCTGAGACATGTTAGAAACATCTGTACTTTCATCCAACTGTACAGCAAACTTCTCACTGCAAAGTTTGTTCTAATACTTGTTTCTTCAAATCTTCAGCAGTGTTTCCCATGTGGTTCCCAACAGTATTTGCTGACAAAGGAATGTATTTTACTTTGTCACCATATTGTTTTCCATGCATTATTTCAGTCATATTTACCACAGCAGGAAGAACAAGTGGGCCAATGGTATGTGGCTTTTTGTCTTTCACTATTACATAAGAAGCCTCAAAAGAGGCTTCTGAACTTTTATTGTGAAGTTTTTTAAAGTACTGAATTGAGTCCCATGACTTGAAACATCTCTGAAAAAATTGTGGAGGTTTGTCTTTGTTTTGGATGTTTAGATCTTAAATGTCCTGCTAAGTGCGATGGCTTCATACTACCATTAGCTAATGTCTCGAGGCACAACACACACCGAGGGCCAGGCTCATCGTTAGTAATAGTGAGTGTAAATCTGCATTTCAAGTAGTCATCTTGGTAATCTCAATTTATTTATTCCTCTGCCCCCCGAGTTCTTTTCAGATCTGATTAGGTTGGCATTGTCTTTACCTTGTAATGAAGAGCTCATAGTAGGAGAAGTGCTAGTTCTGCCATTTTCCTGTTTACTTGTGCTCACGCTATCAGTACTGTCTGCAGTCCTCAGTTTATTTGGAGGAATCTTTTTCAGCCACTTGTTTGTTTTTGTCAGAGTTAGTTTAGGTAAAACAAGATAATATAATCTGTCAGTCCATTTAATTGGGCACAAACAATCTGCAGTGTGTTGAAATATGCTGCAAGTGAACAAACGAGTGAGGGTGACACTGTCAACCGTGCCACATGGTGGAACTCCCGCTCCTCCTTCAGGACACCTCATGCTTACCCTGTGTAGGACCCTCTGACACATGGACTGAGTGAGGACACCTCTGTCAATCTGTATGTTAAAGACTAGTAAAACTTAATTAGTTTTAACTTAATTAAAAACATATTAGTTCTAGTATTTTGTTCCTGCACCCCAGTGGATTGTCTTGTGAACCCCTTGGGGCACATGCATACCACCCTGGAGAGCACTGGGGTGGAGGTCTGAAGGCTTGACTTTTAACTTTGTGCTTCATAGCTTCCTTAGAATTTCAAAGCTTACATTTGGTTGGGAGCATCTCTTTAATATGCCAGAACTGTGACACTGCTGTTTTCAATCTGACACAAGGTAAACAAATCACAATTGCTTAAAAGTTTTGTGTGATCTCCAAAAATTCCCTCCCTTTGTCCTTGAAATTAGTCATCAAATATCTAAGAATTCAAAGGTACACCTGTAATTTATTTTCCCATGTAGTCTGCTAGTTGCTGGAAGACAGATTTTTAAGGGAAATGTCACTTTCCTGGTGTTTGTGGGTGGTAGGGATTATAGTGTTCTGAGCATCATTTTCCACAGTAAGTTGAAAGAGGCATTAGAAATAACTACTAAAATTCAACATAAAATCTGAATGAGGCAAGATGTTAAGATACAGAAAAAGAATCATTTGTATAGGTGGGGATCTCTGGAGCTGTGCTGAGGGCAGAGCCAGCTTAGGTCAAGTTGCCCAAGGCATTGTCTGGTCAAGTTTTGATTATATGCAAGGATGAAGATTGTGCAGCCTCTCTGGGCACCTGTTCCAATGTTTGGCTGCTCTCACAGTGAATTTTTTTCCTAATATCTAATTGTAACTTCCCATTTTGGATTTGTCTACTGCCTGTCATCCTATCATTGCACCTCTGAGAAGACTCTGGATGTGTCTTGTCTGTGGCTTCCCATGAGGTAGTTGAATACAGTAGTATCTGCCCGTAGTCTTCTCTTTTTAAAGCTGATTGAACTAGTTTATCTCATTAGTAATACTACACATGCATAATAGGTATGTGACCAGTTGTGAACATAATTGAAGTTTATTCTATGTAAATTTAGTAAGATTTGTGCATGCTGTTCCCTCTCCTCCAAAATCGTGGAGTAACTCCTGTTTCTGTGAGCAGTGCTGGCAGATGACGCACGTGGAAGCACGTCTCTATAAAGAGTCATCAGCGGCTTTCTCGTCCAAGCCATTTCTAGAGCCTCTTTCTGAACTGTGTTTCCATCTTAAGCAGTTTATTTCTGAAACCTTGGGGTGCTTTATGGAGGGTGGGGTTTTTTTTTAAGAGTTGACATGATGTATTTTAACTTTTTAGATATGAACATACCAAGCCACTGAAAGAGGAAGAAGAGACTGATGTGAATCCAGATGAAATAATTTATCCCTCAGTATCCTCAGACTTCGCATCACTCCCTGAAACAGTTGAAGAAATTATTGCTGAGATAGAAGATGAAGATGCAGATCTGGCAGCTGCAGGAGTAGTTGCTGAAGACTGGGTGAATGCTGTAGAGTTTATCCCTGGGCAGCCATACTGTGGGCGTGGTAAGCTGATCATGGCATAACAGTAGATTTCTGTCATGGGTCAACAATTTATATGTAGTGTATTTATTTTAGTGCTTTTGGTTTGTTGACTACAGCTATTCATATTTATTAATCACTTGAAGTGAACTATAATTAACTTATGCTTGAATTTTCCAACCTGAATAGTCAGATCATTCCACATCTGTTACTGCTGCTGTCCTGATGTTCTGAAACCAGGTGTACTTCAAGCCAGTCTCTGCATAACTGGCTTCCTCTTGTTATGGCTCTGAACGACTTGGAGAATCTCCTTTGAAGTTTAGTTTGCATATGTGATGGGAGAGGAAATACTGGTGATGGAATTAATATCACTACTCTGGAAAGATCATCTCCTGCCTTTGGGTTTTTTAGTTTGTTTTGGGGTTTTTTTGCAGTCTTTTAAAGCTTTTCCAGTGGAGGTATGGATTCCTGTAGAATGAATCGAAATCTAATGCTTGCTTTCATGAATCCCATGGCAACTCAGACCAGAGGCTGAAAATCACTTATTCTATTTACCTTTCTGAGACTTGACGTTCTAACACTGTGACAGGTCATGTTGAGAATGAGGCTGATGATATGGAGCCAGACTGCTTGAGTAGTGCGTGTGTCATCTGCTTTCCCTGCAGAAGGATAGCACAAAGACTTACATTTTAAGTGAAAAGCAGGCTGAAGGTGTTTACTTTAACATAATTTCTAATATTTGGCTCTCTAAAACTGAAGACTTATGGCTATGAGTACTCAAATAGTTGTTTGAATCCAAAGTGGGCACCTTGTGTCCAGAAGAGTTTGAAGTTGTCGTACAGTCCTCAGTTTATACTTCTTTGTCTCCACAGCATTACTCAGATTCTCAAATCTGAAAAGAGAATTACCTTCTCAGTGTTACAGGGTGCTGCTGGAGCCTGTTCTGAATTGAGGAAGGGTGAAGAGGAAAGGAATGGTCGAGCCACACTAACATTTTGCTCATGTTGTTGAGAAGTTTGATTATGCAATTGTTTGGTGTATCTGTGACTTAGGTATAGTCCAAAGGCATGAAAACTCTTCTGCCTGTTAATATGTCATATTACTGTCATAAAAGATACAGTTTCTGTGTTCAGCTGAGACAAAGGATCCCTCTTTAAAATCTTTCAATCAGAATAGAATAATTTAGATTGGAAGGGACCTCTTGGTTTCATCTAGTTCATTTCCTGCTCAAACCAAGGTCAGCTATGTTAGGTTGCCAGGGGCTTTGTTTAATTGAATCTCTGTCCTCGGAGATGTTCAGAACACTGTAACCTCTGGGCAACCTTTGCAGTATTTGACTTCTTTCAAAAGGAAAACTCTTTCCTCGTTTTGTAACTGTATTTTTCCCTGTCTCAGCTTGCCTTCTATCTCTTACCCTGTGTACATCTGAGAAGAGTCTGACTGTTTATTTTTTTCCCCCCTTTCCATTAAGTAGTTGAAGATAAGAATGAGATTGATTCTTAAGCTGAACAAGTCCAGTTTCTTCAGTTTCTTTTCATGGGCTACAGCCCCCTTAATGGCTGCATGGCCCTCCACTGGAATCAATTCATTGCTAGTTTGGACTGCCAGAGGTCTTTTAAACACACCAACTCCTTATAGGAGAGCTGGTGCTTTCTCGAAACCAAATTCCTGAAGCACAGGAGCATTTCATTATACTTTTAACTTACTTAGTTGTACTCAAGCAGTTCCTTTTTCTAGGGAGTCAGGCTTATTTTTCATGGAAACTTGTGGCTACCACAGATTAAGTTAAATAGCATTATCTTATCTGAATCTTGTTCCAAATTCTCTGGTTTATATCCTTTCAAATTTGATGTATTTTAATGTACAAACATACTCAGCCATTTCTTTTCTGAACAGTGCTACGTGATGGTCATTTCCTATGGTGACTTCTTAAAAGCTGCACTTTAAAAATTCTGCTTTTCTGAAGCCACTGTGATTAGTAATGTCAGTGCTATAAATGCTATAAAAATGAAGAACTGTGCTGTAGTGATCAGGAAGATGTGTGCAGGGTGTCCCACAGTGTAGACTTTAAAGCCTTTCGGTTATTCTTGTGAAATGCCTGTAGAAAGGTCGGGTACTTGGGAACTTTAAAATGAAGCCTATTTCTCAAGATTCACTAGAATCCTGTGTGTTTTCAGTTGTCTTACAGATGCTGAAGATTCAGGGTTGGCAGTTTAACCATGTGTAGCTTGGGCTATAATGCTCATCTCTTACTATGGCACATTCTGCTAATGCAGATGACTCTCTGGTTTGGGGCTAAACCCGGTATCTTGAAGATGACCTCAGGGCCTAGCAAAGAAAATAGTGACAATTCTTCAGATACCCACTTTTTTGGTGTACAGATGCTCCACATTTCCATATTTGTTCTGCTGCTACACTGCTGCTAGATGTTCTGGAATACTTGAGGGAGAGGAGAAAGGCAGAAATGTAAGAAACACTCTGAATTGGGTGGCTGTCTCCTGCTGCTACAAAATGAATGTATTTGATGCTACAGAGTGTGTCCTAGAGTGAATGCAGGTGGTGTGTGAATTGAAGGTAATGAACTCATTTTTTCACTAGTATGAATTTAACCCCGTTGACTGTGAAACGGGCAATGAGAAGACAGGGATTGGGTCCACCTGCTGGAGAGTAGTGGTTTTGAAAACAGCAGACAGAATTGTAGAGAATAAATATTGCTCTGTGAGGGATGCTGGAATCAGAACTACTGAGGCAATGGGGTCTTGTGAGTTTCTCTAGTTTTGCTTTCAAATAGGAAGTAAAGCCGAAGCAGTTCTAGAGCAGTAGATACAGGAGATGTGCATGCAGGCCTTTAAATTATGGAAGCTGACAGAAGTGGCAACAATAATGTAATTTTTATTTCATAGAAATACAGCTCTTGCTGAGAGGAAGTGCTAGGACAGCACAGAAGACTGGAAATGGAAAACTAATGTCCTTTTTAGCATGTTTTCCCCTCTCCCACCCTCTCATACTGTAGAAGTACCCAGAACTGTTATTAAAGACACATTCATAGGTCTGTTTCTTGTTGTCTAGATGTCTAGTCACAAAGAACTGGCTGTACTCTTTTGTGCAAGGATGGTATTGTGGACTGGGCTGGAGTTTAGCTGTACTGTGTTGACATGAGAAGTCATTGGTGATTTGTTTAAGTAACAAATCTATACATTTTTTTTTTTTGTGCCAAGATGTGAAGCTCTGCACTCTCCTTCTGTGAACCAGCATAGTAAATAAATGGGTTTCTAAGTCAGCATAGTAAATAAATGGGTTTCTAAGTCTCTGGAGGGGTAAGACTTCAAAGTCTTTTTTCTCAAAGATCCTCAAGCAGTAAGTGGTGGTAATGTTTTTTGGGGGTTTTGGTTTGGTTTTTTTTTAATTAATAAAACCCTTACCAAATAAAGTTCTGACAAAAGATATTCTTTAGAGGAGTGCAGGTGACTCTGGAAAATTTTTTCAGTTAAGAGAAGCTTCAAATGTGCACTTTCTGGGAATACAGGATTGCCTTAAGCAATGATCATCTTGCCAGCCCCATTAAATGAAGTAATGTATCACAATTCCTTTGAAACTCAACTGCATTTGTCTGTCTAGTAGGCTTCTGCCCATCCATATTATGATATGCTAAGTTCTTCTTCCTCAGTAATGGCCAAACAAGGTGTCAGAAGTCATGTGAATCAATTAGGTAAAAAAGTGTAACAGCATTAACTAGAAAAACACTGGCAAAAATGACAGTCAAGGGAATAGAAACTGACTGGTAGTTGTGATTTTTTTTGTTACCACTTTTGGAAGTGGAGACTGGATTTTCAAACTAGGGGAGGGTTTTCAATTAATAAGTACAAATTTTCATATTAATTTCAGCTACTCAGAAAAGTAGGCAGAGCCTATTATATGGTTACTTGTTACTTTTTTTGGTGCCAGCTCAATAGAAATTGTGGGTAAGAAGAGGCAGTGAAGATTTTTGTTTGTTTGGCAATCTCTTCCTGAAAAATAAGCAGGTTGACACTTGACTCGTTAATTCTGTCACTGGGTTGCTTTTGAAAAGTGCGTTTCTAGCAAACCAAACAGACTGATCCAAGATTAGAGTGACTTCTAATGTCAGAGGTGGTTCAAGAAGCAGCCTTGGACTTATTTTTGAGAGCTAATATTTTCCTGTGCTAATGGTCAGTATTTTCTTATCCCCCAAAACTGTGAGCTCTCAGGGAGCTGCTTTTTCTTTTTCTCTGTCTGTCCACAAGCTAACAGGCTGATACAGGCTTATTGTATCTCTTTGTTCCATGGGGAGGAAAACTGTGTGATTCTTTTTGAGGAGGAGTCTGTCCCTTACTCTTACTGCTCCAAGTATGCCTTTCACAGCTTTTGCTTACTTCTCCAAATCTAGTGCTCGAGCAGCTTTTAAAAGTTACACTTTCTTGTAGCATAGATGACTTTTTACTCTTGTAACAGCTACTGGTTATATAAATCAAGTCCAGTTGCTGTTCTTCCTGGTGTTTATTCTGAATGTAGTAACGTTTTGTTGTTCTCCTGCATTTATTGTATCTTCAGTTTCAAACTGACTGCTTTTGTCTTCTAGCTTACTTTATCATCCTGCTTACCTAGTGATTTCAAAAGGCTCTTTGGCTTGGGGTGACGTGGACAAGTGTATGTTCAAGAGGTACAGGGAGAAGTGTTAAGCAGCTGTCTAAATAGGGAAGGGAAATGGTACACATTTCAGTTCATTTAGAATTAGGTAAGGGATTTACTTACTTTTTGCAAAACTGATGGCTAGCTTAGAATGCAATGAAAATGCCCTGAATTTCAGTTTCTTAAAACTAGGTTTCTATGTGTGACTGATGGACCAGACAGGCTCTTTGGCAAATATCTAGAATCGAGTTAGTTTGGTAAGAGGTATGGACAGAGCTTTTATATCACTCATCGAGATCTTTGGGAGTCTAGAAGTGAAAGTCTATTGTTCAGGCTGAACAACAACACGGTAATTAACCTGCACACAAGGAACCTGCTGGTGTGGTGTTTCCATACTAGTGTTTTGTTACACTGGATGCACCTTTACTGCTTCAGCTGTGTAATATCTGGGGAAAAGCCTGTTACCTTTAGCCAATGTGGAAATGATTCTCGAAGCAGTGAGAGAGTTGGGACATTATATAATTGTTGCTGAATGAGGGTTTATATAAAAATGTACTTAAGCCACTGGGGACTAGTGAGACTTTTCTAGTGTGGACTTAGTCTGTAAATGGATCTGAATCTGATCACTGAAACCTTGATAGCTTTAGTCTTGTCTGGGTTGCAGGATGAAGAAATTGGTTGTGCTTTCTTGACTGGGAAAATAACTGCTAGTTCAGGCTGAGGATGTGAGAAACTTGGACTGAAATGAACCTTGGTTGTTGTTATTATTCTCTTCGGATAACTTGAGCAGGGTTACACAAAGATTACTTTCCATTAAAACAGTGTATTCTCACTCCCAGTGCTCTAAATTTGAATCTATTGCTTACTGTCCTTACTTCTGTTCCCAGCTGCTCCTTCCTGCGCTGAAGCACCCTTGCAGGAAATGGTGATTGAGGAGGAATACGAGAAGCAACAAGCAGACTTGGAGATAAAGAAGGAGCTGTGCCCCTACGCTGCAGTAGGAGAGTGTCGTTACGGAGAAAACTGCGTGTATATCCACGGGGATGTGTGTGATATGTGCGGGCTGCAGGTCTTGCATCCAATTGATGCTGCACAGAGATCTCAGCACATAAGGGTAAGCAAACAACTGTCTGGCGTTAAACAGCTTTAAGTTACTGCTTCCTAGCTCCCCACAATCACTTGTCACTAATTCCCTTTCATTTGAAGGTGCATGCAGGTCAGGCAGTGAATGGAATTCCCGTTGTAAACCATACTGTGTCCTGTCAGGGCCCTATTCAAAAGCAGCTAGGTTTCCTTATCTGTGCTGGGAGAGCAGTCTGCTTAAGGATACTAAAACTTTGTTCTTTACCTAGTAAAATTGGATAGTCTTTTTGATTGCCTTTCTCATGTTTAAAAATGATGTCTGAAAAAAGGCATTCGAACTCTGAATTTATTGCTCCCCAATACCTGAGCAATTTTTTTTCTTTTGAGGTTAAAGATTTTTCAGCTTAATAATACTGCATTCATTAGGCAAAACAGCAGAGTAAAACTGAGCTTAAAAACCTGCTTAAAGTTCACCAGGTGACCAGTTGTCTCTGTAGTCGTTTTCTTTGTCTCTCCTTTTCAGTCTTGCATTGAAGCTCATGAGAAGGACATGGAGCTTTCATTTGCCGTCCAGCGTAGCAAAGACATGGTGTGCGGGATATGCATGGAGGTGGTGTATGAAAAAGCTAATCCTAGTGAGCGCCGCTTTGGGATCCTCTCCAACTGCAGCCACACTTACTGCCTGAAGTGCATCCGCAAGTGGAGGAGTGCTAAACAATTTGAGAGCAAGATTATCAAGTGAGGCACTTTCCCATTTTGATCATGCTTTGTTACTATGGAAGAACTCAGTAACTTGTGACAACTTGCAGCAGGCTTCCCGATGCAGACTGCACAAACTCTGCATATAATGCTTACTAACTTTAGTTTGGAAGTGAAATAACTGTTAGGGGTAGCATTTACACTCTGATTTGGTTAATATGGATTAACTTTCCAAAACTCATTTAATAGTAGAAAATAACTTTCATTTATTTAGTAGCATGTTGTCCAGTGGTTACTGTTTACTTTTTGGACACTCAGACAGGAATCTGAAAACAGATTAACCAGTTCAGAATGTATGCTTCTTAATTCATTACCACCCTAGTTCATTAATCAGTTGACAGAACATTTCTCCACCTAAAGGCTGTTCTAGAAAGACAAAGTCCCAATCAAATAAACACAGAAATCAAAACAAAATAAATTAATTTCATCCTAAAGAAAAAGGAGTCTGTGTGAAGTGTTTTTTCAAGCTTTTCTGAGACAAGCTGACCAGCTGCCATTGCCATTGAGTTCTTGAAGAAGAGAGTTTAGGTTACCTTCATGTGTAAGAGAGAATCCAGATTGAAAAGCCCATACATCAAGCGTGTGGGTACAGTGCATCTTTAAAGATGGATGTATGCCATGACTTGTTATGTAGGAGGGAGAGCACCTGTAATGTGGAATTTTGCAGCGCAGTCTGTTCATTCCCCAGGTCCTGCCCAGAATGTCGGATCACATCTAACTTTGTCATTCCAAGTGAGTACTGGGTGGAGGAAAAGGAAGAGAAGCAGAAACTCATTCAGAAGTACAAGGAGGCAATGAGGTATGAGCCCTGCAGCCTTATGTCAGGTTGAGACAGCAGAGTTAAGGCACACATGGAGAAGGGTTGACGTAAAGCCCTCTCACACCTCCTTTCCACCTCCACGTGTGAAGCGCGTCCTTGCCCGTCTGCCCACAGATGTGTGTAACTGTAGAGTCGTGGAGCTACTCCTGTGTTCTGTGACCTCAGGCTTTCCCTCCTATACACAAAGCGCTGGTGGTGTAGCCAGCGGGTGGCACGAGCTTGTGCGCTGCGAGCCAGCAGTGTCCCTGTGCAAGCACTGACCCACACACATTGTGTAATACGTGATTTCTGCGCGTAGGTGTTACACTGACAGATACCTTCGGCTCCAAATGGTGCCTGGGATCCTTTTGGAGTACAGGTAAATGCGATTCTGAAGTCTGGTGGGGTCTGCTGTGAGTAAGGGTTGCGGTGTTTTCCTTTCCAGCAACAAGCCGTGCAGGTATTTTGATGAAGGCCGTGGGAGCTGTCCATTTGGAGGAAACTGTTTTTACAAGCATGCATATCCTGATGGTCGCCGAGAGGAGCCACAGAGACCCAAAGTGGGAACATCAAGTCGATACCGGGTCAGTGCTGCTGGTTTTTGTCCTTTCTATACAGAGAGAGTGCAAGAGGGGTGTATGTTAAATCAGCTGCCTTGAGAAGAGGACAGGGAAATGTTGAATCTTTCTTTCACTTGTGATAGAAAACAAGAAATAAAGAAATTAGAAGAAATTAACAAGAAATAAATCTTTAAAATGTTAGTT